CACAAAGGATTGCTTGTGGAAAAAGCCCTTGTTGATCTTGGATGGAGTTATAACCAGCACTCGATGCCTTTAGTGAGGCATTGTAGGGTGGGCTGAGTCTGTACATGTGTTTCTGTGTGTGTAAAAACAACACCTGAGCTAAACAGGGGAGAATGGAGCAAACCCAAGTCTCCTCCTAACGGGCTTTCTTCAGGTGGATTTTATGGAGCACTTTTGAAAGGACTTTTTGTGTAAGGCCCTTGGAAACTCTTTTCAAAGCCCCTGTGCAGAAGTGCCGGGGCCTGTGGGCCACCTTCCCACTCAGGGCTCACGTCTTCCCAGCACAGACTTCAGTCCGTCAGGTCGGGTGTTCCAGACTCTGAGAGAGTCTCTTGCCTGGATGGGAGGTGGAGGAGCTTGAAATAAAGTTTTTACAGGAAAGTGTTCTCTCTTTGTGCCAGTCCCAGTTCCCACACACTGCTGCACCCTCAGCTTTGCTCCCTGCTCTCCTGCCGCGCTCTCCGGAGGCATTTCTCCTGCCCTTGGAGTCAGCTCTGTGTCCTGACTCACTCACTATTGTGTTTGTGGGTAATTTTATGGGGCAAAGCAACTGGGATAACCTTGTGAAGATCAAAACAGAACACTTTGAAATGACACATAGTTACAGTATTAGTTTTCAAATACGTTTAGGAATAATATTGACATTCATTTGTTCTTTACAGGAGCGTGCTTGTTTGGAAAGATAGACATGCAAAAACTTTTCATGACCACAGAGTTCATCTATGAAATAACTTGTTCATTTTCAGAAATTTTGTGTTAGAAAGCTACTCTAAACTGCCAGGATCCATGAAGCTGTTCCCCAGAAGAATTAGTCTAATCCAGACCCACTAGAGACTTGGAACATCTTTTTGTTTTGCTGATTTGGTTTTCAGTAAAGGACTGAGTTCTAAAACATGGTAACACCTCTTGGTCACACTGACTTGTCTCTGTAGGATCTGCTCACTCTTCTCTTTTTGTGGCTCAACTCTGGTCTGCTGGAATAACTTTGACTTTCTTACCAAGAGTTGTTCTGGCAAAGCTTGTCACATTTTCTGCTCCCTTCCAGAGCCAGACAATGTAGTGAACTGGTACAATACAAACAGCATTGCCCAAAATGTTTATGATGAACAAAGCCACAGCACTGTGGTTTTGGCAACAGGAATATTCTGGATACTTGCAGGATCCTTTTAATGGGGCTGCTTTGTGCAAAGGATCATCCAAGTTCAACTCCTTGCCCTAACTTTCCAGTGGACAGATCATCCTGCTCCACCCACAGTGCCTCAAGGAACTGTGTAGAAGATGGGGGTTATTTCTTACCATTTGAGTTACTTCATACCTTTTCTTTAACATTTCAACCAGAAATTAGTTATTGCTTAACCACCATGCAAAGCAGCACCTCTGCAACCTTGCCCAGTTTGGGATTTCCCACCCCAGCACACACATACAATGCCTTTTACCCCACCCCAGGTGCCAGAACGAGCACGATCCACGTGTTTGAACATCAGGCATTGAGGCTCAGGGTGAGGGGAAGCCAAGCATTGCACTGATCACATGCAACAGGCTGATCCTCTGCTGCAGTTTTTGTTAAAAACCCGATTATTTGTGCAGGCTGGATGCTGAAACATTTGGATTGGGGCTGGACAAGCAGAACTGACAAAGTGGGCAGTTGCCCACAAGAGAGGCAGTGGAAGGAAGAGCCTCTGGTATCATTTAAGAACTTGAGTGGTTTTTTTCAGCAGGTATTTTTCCAGTTCACAACAGGCCATTGACCCCAGAAAGTGCAGCAACAGCAGCCTCAGCTACAATCAGAGGGAGATAAAGTGAAGGATTTGTTGGAGGGGCAGTGCCAGGAAACGGCTGAGACATCACATGGCAGAGGATGTGCCCTCTGCAGCTGAGGGACTATTTACTTACAGGCCAGACTTCACCAGACTCCACCAAAGGCAGATTTGGCGAGTTGTTTGAATTACCTGACCCACTTGCAGTAGGAAGTCATTACAGAGATAGTAAATACCTACCCCACCCTTGGTAGGCAGACAGACTCTCTGCCAAAATGGTCTAGCTCAGCTTCTCAGAATATAAAATATTGTACCTTTCTAGCTAAAACTGGCATTGCAAAGGCATCAGAAACTGCTGCTGTTCCAGTAAACTACTCCACTTCTTGGCATTCCATCATCCTGGAGAGAGCCTCCAGGATTTATGTCTTACCACCACCTGGAGCACAAATCATAGCAAAGAATAAGTTGGAAATTTTTCTTCGGGTACAGATCACTTGCTTCTCCCATTGATGGGAAAAGCTCCCAGCCCCTCTGGCAGTCAGGGAAGCTGCCTGGGATGGATTCTGAGAGGAGCTTTACACATCCATTCATTTGGAGTGTTAAATAGACTCCAAGACAGTTTTTCCAGACTTTTTTGTTTTATTTTCTTGTAGTGAAACTGCAGCTAACTTAGCACATATAACATGGAATCATGGAATTGTTAAGGTTGGAAAAGACCTCTGAGATCATGAAATTCAGCCATCAACCCAGCACCACCACCATGTTCACAACTAAACTGTGTCCTCAAGTGCCATACCACATTTTTTGAACACTTAACGTGCTTGGTGATTAATTATTGATAACTGAGGGATGGGTTTAAAATTTCAAGCAAGAAGCTTGAAACGTTATCTACAAGTTATCTTTTTTTTTTTTAAATCATGTTACTATTATAGAATGTTGTAACTGTAAATTCTTTTCCCCCTGAATAGATGTGATTTCACCAAAATCTGTGGCCTGCACCAATGTTGACATTTATAAAATTATAAACTATAACCAAAATAAGATTCTGATCTTGCTTAGACCAGAATAGAGCTGGAGAAAGTCCATGAAAAGACAACTGATTTTTACTAATGCAACTAAGAGCAGATCTGGTCCAAAATAGATATTGATGTAAGAGGGCTTGCTTCAGATTAGACTGATGATGGCCTTTGCTTGGACTGTAGGAATAGGTATTGACAGAAAAGGAAGAAAAGAGGAATTAATTTTTTTTTTTTAATTTACTGCACATAGTTTAATTTTACTTATATTTTATGAGACTCACCTGAGTCTTACACGAGACTTCAGGTACTGATACTTGAGATGCTGGGACAGGTTGGAGAAGTTAATTTAGCAGAAACTGAAATAAAAATTTCATTTGTTTTGAAGGTCACTTCTCAGAATTTAAGGGGTAGTTCTTCATTTGATAAAACCGGGAGATGAGTTTGCTGATCCTTTGCAAAGTCAGTGACTCGTTGCTGAAGTCAAACCTGTGCACAGGGCTCAGGTGTCACTGCTGACTTCTCTGAGCACCATGTGCTCATGGCCTTGCTTGGACTGGCTTAGGAGAGACCACAGCCAAGTTCAAAGTGATTTATACTCCTGTTCCCTTGGATGTCAGTTGTGGTTGTACAGGATTAAGGACAATGGGTCGCATTGGGCTCAACAGAGGGTTTCAAGGTGAAGATCCATACAGGACATAAGAGCCCAGTTCTGAGGCTGGGATTCAGAAGCTTTAATTCGGAGTGTCCTGCATAGACAGTTGGGAGAATTCAGTGTTTAGTAATGGGATTCACATGTACCAGGTACTGAGTGCAAGGAATGAGTTGGTGAGATGGAAAAATGCCAAAGAAAAGGATGTGTTTCTGTGCTTTGGTTGGTACCTCAGCACAGGTCCCTTTCTTAGATCTGGCCCTGAATGCTGAAGTTTTAGTAACAGGTACCAGCCAGCCTGTGTTTACAATTGCAGTTTCTTTGGGGAAATCAATCAAATTAAACAGTTTTTTGTTTGCCACTGTTATTACAGCAGAAAGCTGAATCCCAAAGTGCTCGGGAGGCCCAGTGCTAAACTGGAGCCACACTCCCCTTGCTTCTCCTCTAGTTATGAACGCCCTTCATCCACTAATCACTGCCTGGCACAGTATTAAATTTAATCACTGAACTCCAAAACATTGTAATGCGTCTACCTACTCCATGGTTCCATTTGGATGGAAATTTTCTATCTCGTTTAAAGACTATTAAAGCCCTGCCTTTCTTGCTCAGAACAAAAGGGCATTGTTTGCTTTGTTTTTCGTTATGTTCGTATTCAACAAAAGATGATTATTCTGTCTGCTCCGTGCTGAGGTCCCTGTGAGCATGTAGACCTCCTCTCCACTTGCTTTTCTTTCTCCTGGCTTAATACAAAATAGAAACATTTCCTTCGTGCAGAATTGTAGGGTTGAAATGCACAAAGGCAGATGTTATTTATCAAAACTCTCAAGGTTTTCCAAACATAGGTATTCATTAAAAAGTTGATGCGAGGCATAATTGAATAAAGAAGCAGCATTACAAGGCACAGCAGAGGCAGCAATGAGATTAACACACATTTGTGATTAAGAATTCATCTTTCATGAAATAAAAACAGTCATTTCAGTTGAACACTTTTGACCTTTTAAGAGCGACACGGCAAACCCACAAACATATAGTTGTTTGTTTGGTTCCTATTATTGCCATCACATTGTAACCTGGGGAGAGGAGCTTTCTCCATCCTCCAGCTTGGCAGCCTGTGGGCAGGAGAGCAGGATTCTTGCTTTTGGAGAGCTCACAGCCCATTCACAGTGGGTTGACTTTGAAAAGCCCCATTTATTGGATGACGCAAGGTGCAAATTGTGACTCACTCTGCATAGGTTAAGTTTGTAAAAAATCAACCTATATTCATCTCCTGAGCACCTACACAGCTGCATAATGTATTTATTATCTCTGGGGTCCCCTTAACCCCTTTAGAGGTGTAAAAGTGATCTGCAACACAACCCAGCCAAACTGATGTTCTTTCCCAGGGAGTTGAAGTTTTCTTCCTTTATCAGATCTAGCGAAGGGCAGATTTTCTTCTCTCTGGCCAGGATTAGGTCACAGAGAAAATTTCTTCCTGTTCTAACAGCCCTCACCTGGATTGCTGGTGGTGTTGCTGATATAGGACACTGTGTTTTCCAGGTCCCAACCAGACGAACCAGATACTCCTCGATGTTTGAGTCCTCTCATGATCCTGCAATGATACTGTAAGTAATTGTTGTTTATTACAAACAGATTTATGCACAAGTTTGGTGCTAGGCCAGCGTGTTTTATTAGTTGAAACATTTCCTTGTATTCCCCATGTGTATCACAATCTATTTTTCTGGTGGATTTAAGGTTTGGGAGCAGTTTTGCTGTGTTTGCAAGGCCTTTAAAAGGACAGAACCACATCTTCACCTTCTCCACCCACCTCCTCCCCTGTCTTCCCCCCTTTCAAAGGGAGAACATCAGGAAGTTTGGAGATTCAGATGTGGTTCCTAAACCTCTGTCAATGAGGAAGGTCTCCTGTGCTGCTGGAAATGCTGTGCAGCCACTGGTTCCTGTATTTCAGCTCTCCTTCCTCTCAGGAAACCCAGATTCCAAGGGAAGGAAAACCCCAAATGACCCTTGTACAGGTCATTGCAAAAAGTGGTGGTTGCTTAAAAAGGGTGTTACCTTACATGACTGGTTTAATTTCTCCACCTATCCCTCTGCTGCACATGTGACAGCTGTTACAGGACTGGCATTATGGGATGGACACTGAGAAATGAAGTGTCTCCTCCTTTGACCCCTTGTCTGAAGTCCTTACTCAGCACAATTCTCCTTTCCTGGTAGTAAGGCTGGGCTAGGGGAGGGACTGAACCTCCTCTAATTGCTGTGGGTGATTAAATACTGCATAAAGTCTTTCTCCAATGTTGAATCAAACACTGAAATTAATTTACTTCCTCTCTGTTCATAAAAACTGTGTCAGCTTTCTGCAAGCCACGGTTTGCTAACCTACTCCCAGAGATTCCTGCAGGAAGGAAGTGGCAAAATTGCATGGAAGATTATTTCCAGCAAACTGATGTGAAAAATGAACATTGGCCAGATACCTGTCTGTGTCTTTGCTCAGGGAACACGTATATACCCTGTGACTTTCATGGTCAATCACAACTAATCATAAAATATGAGTTTCCCAACCCATGTAGGAGATTGGAATTGAGTATAAAGATATATATGCTGTTGTTTTTAAGCCCATAATAAAACTTATTGAATACTTATGAATAATAGATGCATTTAAAAGAAATTACGATCTGCTCCTGTTTAATCCTTGAAAGAAAAAAAAAACAAATTAGCTTATAAATTCTCTGATGGTTTATTCTCTGGGACAGAACAATGGAGGCTTGGTACAAAACTCACTGGAATCCATAAAAAGACCCCCATTTTATGCCCCAAATTTGTAACCTGCACAGAAGCCTGTTATGGCAGCTGCCACCTTCACTAACATACCAGGGTTCAGACCAGGTTCCTCTTGGGCTGCAGCTCTAAAGTCTGGCTGGAACAGGCTGATATTCCCTGTGGATCAGGCACAGAGGTGGACCTGTAACATGCACTCACCTGTGCCTTACGTCAGTCAGTGGAGTATGTGCTGCTCCACTTGTGGCTCCTGTAAATTAAACAGAGAAAAAAGCTGCCTTTTCGCTCCTGAAACGTGATCCAAGGCTCAGGTAGATTCCAGCTGTGATCCTGCTCCTTGGTTATGAACATACATTTATTTTCTCAGGACATTAGAGCTCCTTTTGCACGGGCAAAAATTGTAAAAACAAAATGAACAACGTTCTCTGTGTACAGGGGAGTTATTTAAAGAGCCTGAGGGTTTGAACATAAGCAGACACTGTGTTCACATACAATATAAGCAAGACTTCTGGGGTTTGGCATTTCAAATGACAATTAAAAATACAGCAGGCATGTTCCAGCAACTTTATGGGTTGCCATAAACATCCAGAAAAGGATTCCAGACAAAAGTAAAGATTCACAGTAAGGATTGTTTTCTTTTTTTTTTTTTGTGTCCTACCTCAATTTTTAGTGGGATGTGTTGTGACACACCACAAAAAGAAAGGGCAGAAGGCGTCTCGCTCATTGGAAGACGTTGTACCTCAAAAAATGCTTCTTTGGGAGAGTCAAAGTTTACAGTCCGTGTGGCTCTGTTCAGGTAATTGTTTTAGCTTCCTGCTCAGGAGTTTTTTAAAAAATCTTGAGGAGAAAAATTCCCAAACAAGTCTGGAAGGGGAAAAACACTTTCCTTCCTCAGCACAGAAATAAACACAACAGACTCAGAATCTCTCCCCGGCACAATTTTGGGTGCCATGCCATTACTTGAATTTTCTTAGAAATATTTACCACAGGAATGACACCACTGCACAATCAGACAGCTCTTATCACTGCAGGCTCCTGGAAGCAGGAAAATTGTAAATGGATTGTGTCCCTTTAAGCAACATAGTGTTTACAAATGTATTGTGATCGTGTTTTAGGCACTAAGGCAAGAAGAAGAACCTGAATCTGAAGTGAAGGATTTAATTACAAGGTCTTTCTTCCTCAGTAATTTTTTGCCTGTAAACCTGTGACAAAAAGGGTTTCTCAGCTCCTCTGGAGGTTTTTGTGTACCTAAATCTCCAAAATGCTTTGAAATGTTATTATGACACTGAGTGGCATTTTCTCTAGGATGGTCAGCTCTTTCCAAGCCTTAAGATGGGAGAGAAGTTGCAGTTTGTTGTTGGACAGTTCTGAAATTCATCTTTTCTCTTTAGGACACTTTAGCAATGAGTTTTGTTCTGTGCATGTATTGAAACCTCATAGCCATCAACTGACCCATCTAATGATGCTCAGCCAAAACAAATTCCCTCAGCTTTCCTGGGTTTCTGTCAGTCCCCTCCTCACCAGGGGAGTCGTGTGGCTCCTCTTTACTGGACACCAGCACTGGGATTGTTTTTCAGGAGTCAGGGCTAAGTGAGAAGTAGGTTCCTGCCCTGAGTTAAGCAATATTCCACATTAGTGATCCAGTGACTCCATCAGGGCAGGAAGGAGTAAGGAAACTGCTTTATCCTCCCGAGTGCACAAACCAATCCCCAGGGACTGGGAACAGGACATCTGTCAGAAAAGAGGGAGATAGAGGCTATCTTAGGGTTACATTTGTTTCCTGTGGCTTTGTTTTATCCCTTTCCTCTCCCCCCTACCACAATTCAGGACTGCCTATGAGCTCTTTTCTCCCCTTTACATGTATTTATTTCCTTTAACTAGGCAGTAATTTTGCAATCTGTAGGATTCAGAGGCAATCCTATTCTCCCTTTGTACCTTGCTGGTTGTAGCCTTCCGTTCCCGACCCTGCCACAGTTGCAATGCCGTGCTGTGAACCAAAACTCAAAGGTCCTTTTTGTTTTTTACTTTGCATTCCTTCCCTTTCCCTTGCATTCCTGCTCAGTGCAACCCCAGCAGCTCTCTTCCCTCATGTGGAGCATCAGGCACATCCCCCAGGCCTCCTGCTGGAATCTTTCCCTTCCTGAAACATGACCTTGAATCTCACCCCTCATGCAGGTGCTCAGCACAGAACAAACTTCAACTCCAGTTAAGAGCTATTTCAGGGGCTGAAGTGGGCATGAGATAAGGTGCAATTTTAACACTTATCCTTTATCCAGGATAAATTGGATGTTAATTGTAGTGATAATCGTGGTGGACAGTTTTTAACTATGAGTGATGATTTGTGCTTCTTCCTCTGTGATAGCAGCTGTGTGACTTCTTCATTCATACAATCAGCCTGAAACTGCCTTGATTAAATCAGATTTGTAATTGCTGCTACGACAAAAAGGGGAAAAGCAGCTACAGGAGAGCTCCAGAATACTGTCTCCATCTCTTGTACCTTGCTGAACATTGCCAATAGTTCCTCTGGTGGTGGGAACATGGAGCTCACCTGGACATGGGGCACAGTTGAATAGTCTCCTTCACCTGTTGTACAACACAGATTTGGTCCTTGCCTTTGGTTTGCTCGTCCTTTGCCCAAACAGTCACACCAACAAAACCTCAGCTGTTTGGGCAAGTGTATCACAAGCCACAGCACCTTAGTCTTGGGAAATTTATCTTGCTGTTCCAAACAATTCCTCACACTCCTTGACATTTGCTCCTATGGGTATTTGTAGACTGTTATGTCTGCCCTTACTTGTTTTTTAACCATTTAGCTCTGTCGTCATAAATCATTTCCCCTCAGCTCTTTAGCTGGGCTGCCTGCCTGTGCTCCTAAGTGTGAAACCCCAGGCTGAGCCTGCCCTTTCCATGTTTGCTCCCCACAGGATTCTCTTGGTGGCACAAAGTCATTGCTCAGGCCATGATTTCATTCCTGGCTTATTGAACAGTCCTTTGCTGATAACACTGACCTAAGGATTTCTGGTTCTCTAGTTCTCTTTCCCTGTCCTCCCACATACTCCTAAGACTTGTTTCACCTCTTCCCCTGATTTCAAACCACTAATTCAGGCTCCCTGACCCCTCTCCCCAAAAGCACAACTTCTGGGAGTAGCAGAGGCTGCAGGGAGTGTCTCTGTTCCCACTTCCTTCATCCCTCACTCTTCTCTGAAGGAATTCCCTGCAGCCACAAGCCAGTTCCCAGGGACAGCTGGAAGGTGGGCATGTTCCCAGATCTGTGTCAGGAGCTGAGCCACATGTTTACCTCATTATGGAAAATTGTTGCATTTTACCCCTTCTGTGTGCACCTGTTTGCATTTTTGGAGTCTGGACTTAACAGGTACAAATTTCAGGAGCTTTGTGGTGAGGCCGGAATATGCTGCTGTTTAAAGCATCTTTGAAGGTATCTGGATCTTAAAACGAATTAATTTTCACAAAATGTCTACCAGGAAGAAGAAAACCCTGCAAGAGGTGCATTTATGCAGTTTATGAGGACATTTACAGTGACTGATTGAAAATAATTAGTAGTTGTGTAAGGCACAGGGTGCAAATCAGACCTTGATTTTTAGGGAGGAGAAGGGAACTTGTTGTGGGCAGATTTGCCTAAAGCTGCCTATAGCAAACTTCCTTTTACTTTTTTGTTACATTTTTGTTTGTATTTGCAACCACAGATACAAGAAGGACCAGAGAGATCCCTAATCTGGCCCAGGGTATCACCTCATCAGCTCATCAGCATGTGCGAAGTACAGTTTGTTCTCTTTTTGGCTGATAAAAATTTGAAAATTGCAAAATGATCATG